GGAGCAGCACCGCCGCCTCCTGGAGCAGCACCGCCGCCTCCTGGAGCAGCACCGCCGCCTCCTGGAACAGCACCGCCGCCTCCTGGAGCAGCACCGCCACCTCCTGGAGCAGCACCACCGCCTCCTGGAGCAGCACCGCCGCCTCCCGGTTGAGCTTTAGCAATTGCAAGAATCAAGCAGAAGAATATAGGCGTCACTTGGCTGAACATAATGAAGAAAGGACAGCCTGAAAATGTCAGCAAAAACCTAGACGTGCAAAAACCTGACGCATTCTTAAGGCTCTCTCTATAGTTCCCTCTTCAGCTCGGGAAACGACCACCTCGTGTTGTAAGCAAGAATATATATTAGCCAGGCTGTAGAAAAGAGTAGGACTGGCTAGAATTCCAGTACAGAGAACTAACATGTGTTTGAGGAAGCACAGACGGAGCCCTGCGATATAGAGGGAACAAGCAGACAGTCATGATTCTGCGCTAATATAGTGTTTCCTGTGTTATTTAGGGGTCGGCATTTCCAGTGTGAGTAGAGCTTTTCAGTATCGTGGAATCGACGAAACAACCGTGGTTTGGACAATTCTTCAAAAAAAAAAAAGCCGTCTGCACGATGAATTGACACCAACGGACCTCGGCACTCTCATACTTGTGTCCTAAAACATTTTGGAGACGAGAGCGCAACTTGGGAAAAATCAGAATGCAGAAAACTCACTTACGGCCGACTTATATGCGGTTTTCATTTCTTTGCACACCTGTTCGCCAGATTTGAAAAGCCGTCACGAACTGGTTTTTTCAAGCCCAAGAAATGGAATTAGGGGCGCTGCCAACGAAGCAAATGAGAAACTTTTCGGACCTTTGTCACTCAAATTTCAAATATTTGCTGTTTTTTAAACTTCATAGCTTTACCACTGAATTTGCTATAATCCATCTGACTAGAATCCCTGTTTTTAAAACACTTTGCAATTTCGTTCTTTAATTCGTTCATTTTTATGCGTTTTTGCTGTGCAGCGCTGCTACAGCCAGCGAAAACGCATATTGCCGAGAAGTCGTCTGTGTGCATGTGTGTTTAGAAGTGCCATCTACTTTCAACTCAACAACTACGAAATCTGAGAGGCTGAAATTTTAGGATCATATTTTCACCCCACGTATCACCCTCCCGTTTTAAAATCTTGGCTCGTACGTTCCTAGATCTTGCGTACGGACCTTCAAAAAAAATATGTTGATTTCCTTAGCTGAAAATGGTTTCGTGGTCCAGACAAAATAGAAAGCTGGGACTTTGCAGGATATTCTCTGTGCATGCAATTCAGCTGCAGCACACGCTTATGCCGCGCATACGGCTACGTCAAATTTCTCAGTTAGCATTAAGCTAACTTGGAAACTAGCCGGAAAAGCAGCTGAAATTTTTCCAGAATATTTGTTGTTCATGTGGAAAATCGCATACCTAAGCTGAGCTTGGATTTGTATTGGCGCCACAACTTAGAGAATTTCAAATGTATTTATTAAAGATTGAAAAGAAGATATCAAGAAAAGAAGAAAACAAAGAAAAAGAGGAAAAGGATAATAAAGTGAGAAGGGTGTCTATAGAAATGTTTGTAATGTAAGAAATGTTTCGGTCCACTAAGTCGCATATATTTCTTACAGTTACCACAATTTGACCTCGTCAGTACGACGACTGTGGTAACAAAATAATTTGGTAAGGTATATAAATTAATTGAGACAAAAAGATTTTTTTATAGAGAATTGGTTATTTTGCTAACCAGAAAAGCTGCAAGTTAGCAAGGGAATTCTATATTCACGTGCGGTCTTAATTCAGCTTGGAGGCGAAATTTCCTCCACGCGAACATGACAAATATTCGATTTTATCGCAAACTAAAAAGCGAGTGCATTTTGCAAGTTTCATAATCCTCTTTCGACTTCCTCCAATCGCGCATTTTTTCAGTGAACAAGCATTCACCGGAAAAATGACGAGGCTTTATGCAAAAAAATGACAAAGACCCATACGACCCACTGCATGAGAAAGGGCCAAAACACGGCCAATAGGAGCCCACGTATTAAAATACAGCACAAAAACTGTTCCTGCTGTTAGCGATCTGCAAGTTTAACGCAAAAACGCATGATCATACTGGCAGGCCAGGTGCACTGGAGCGTGGGCTAAGCATACTATTTGCAGGTGGTTCTTGAAACTCTTACTAAAAATTATCCTAAAAGTGGGCGTTATTGCTTTCATTATCTGCATCAGCAAAGCGAAATTTCTTGTAATTTGATTCTAATAAATTTTTAAGTAGATTTTGCTAGGCCTATATGTAATCACTAAAGGCCTAAGGGAGCAGTGAATCTGATTTCCCCAGCACAAATGATGTCTTCACTAGAAACCTCTAAAAGGAATTTGGAGATACGCAAATGAAACCTTTCCACCAAGACAATAATCCAAATACCCACGTTGATTGGTGCTTTGGGCAATTTCCGAGTGTTCTCATCAATTGTAAAGTAAGAATACGGTGGGGTTTTTGACTTCTTTTTCTGCGCTTTGGCTCATTTACGCAGGTGTTAAAACTCATAATGTATGAAACTTGGTGTGTGTTTACGCATGCGTGTGCATGCCTGTGTGTGTGTGCATACCGAGTTAAAATACCCGTACAGACGTTCGGGTATTTTAACTCGGTAACTAAGTAGGCTCTGATGCTAAAATTTTGCAAGTGGGTTCCCTAGCGAAATGCTATCCCAGTAACAAAATATAGACTTCCACTCACGTTCGAGTCTGATGTACAGTCATGTAAAAGCCTTAGCGGGAAAATTGCTTACTCGTGAACCAGAAAAGCGAAAAGCTGAAATTTTAAAGGAATTTTTCTTGTCTACATGCAGTCTGGAGAGTTCAAATTCAATTTCTAAGCATGTTCGGTTTTCGCATGTGGCCACGCGAAAGTTATCTGCGATTTCGTAATCTTTTCCACAACATGGGGGAAAGTGTTATGGTATAATCCAATAAACATTCTTATTGTTACCAACATGACTGCATCAAGTTTAGCGCAAAAGCATATGACCGCACAGGCTGGTCTGATGCTTAATTACCTGGATTGATTACGCAGCAATAAGGAAAAGCTTTTGAACTTGCTTGTTGAAAGTGATATGTTGTAAATTCCTCATCGATTTATCGATGTTGTAAAGTTGTTTACTGAAATTAGTGAGGCTGCAATGCAAACGGTAGCTGACTTTGATTGCAAAAATCCA